AGGAAGGAAGGAAGGAAGTTAGTTTTCCAAACTCTGCTACAAACAAACAAACAAAAACATGGTAAGACTAGCCTGCTATCAGAGACTGTGAGGTACCTAATGGGAAAAGAGGAAGTTGGGAGAATATAGGTCAAATTTTATTTTTTAAAGCCAAAGTTCAGAGGTGAAAAGCAACACTCAACACCAGGGCCAGAAAATACTCATGAAAGGACAATCACCCAGGTCATTTCTCTGGCTGTCTGCGGCGTGATCAGCTGCACAACCACAGCACACGCAGATGAATGGATGATGGACACCAGAAAGATGACTAGCATGGCCTTCCACGGTCACTTAATGTAACAAGATTCTGGCCCAGTGATTTTAGACCCACAATAGTATAAACTATGACAATCTCTCAAGTCACTCCTGCCATTTATGAGACAAATAGGTAAGGGCAGAAATAGGGCTGTTGAGAAATCTCCAGAGAAATAGAGCTGTCGGGCAGACCTGAGAAATGCTTCTTATCACAGACAGTCAATGCAGAGGGGCAACAGCAATCTGGAAGACGTTGGCGACTTAATTCTTTGAACAAACTCAGATTGGGTAGGAGCGCACTTTGCTGATCCTGGATCAGGCTGTAGTCCTATAACCATGAAGTACAAGAGCGAGGCAAATATGTAGATTGTGCCCATGGCTATTTATGGCAACTAATTTTCCCATACCTATTGCCTTTATTCCCTAGATCCAATCAGATCTGTTGGAGCCAATACGAAGTGTTAGAGCAGAAAAAGCAACATTCTAAACAATGAGTTGTTGGCTGAGGTCCTTTGTCTAGAGCAGAAAGAACCTGTTTGTATCATTAAAGCAGAACCTGAAGTCTGAGTTACTTAATGACGTGCATTTCCACATGAGACATGCTCCATTACCAGTTTCAGAGTTCCTTGCACTGCATTTGCAGACTGGAGGGACAGAGCACTACAATCATCAGAGACGTTGGTTGCAATAACAGTGGGACCTAGTACTTCAGGTAATATTTACGCTCCCAAAATATGTGAATAAATGTCTACTTCATTCATACATGCTGTAGTTACCTTGCTGCCATATATGCTGTTGTTGTCATGTGTCGTCAAGTATGACTCATGGCAACCCAATGAATTGAGTGACCTCTGAAACATCCAGTTCTCACAACCTTGGAAACTCAAGGCTGTAGTTCATTTTTCCTGTTGCCTTCAACTTTTCCTAAGATTATTGTCTTACTTTCATACAAACCATGAAATTGCATTAGATTGGATCATGGGATGGGATCATGTGCAAAGGGAGTGGCGTTGCACATAGTACTGTTTGCCAAATTATGCTTCGGCCCCACTTCTTTAATTCAAGTAGAAGGGTGAAGTCAACCTCTACAGGATTAGGTTTTTGGAGGCACTTCATAGGAGCAGGTCCTGCTGACTCAATAATGTACAAAGCACAAGGGTACGTTTGGGAGCTGTGCATTAACAAACCAATAAACTTGAAGTAATGATGGATGACAGGCCATGTGACTTGGGGAACAAGGGCACCCATTATAGATTTGAGTCTAGCCTATCGGATCCCTTGTGCTTATAATTTGGGTGCCAGCAAAGCCCTTCTGTCTGGCATGATATCTTAAATGGGAGCCAACAGGGAAGCACTTTCTTCTGTAGTACCAGTTAAAGAAAAGTAAAATTTCCTGATGAAAAGCAGACTACATTGGTTGTTGGTACTGGAGCTACAAAAGTAATTGATATTGAAAGCTTTGGATGTTGTGCTCCTTCTTCAGACACATATCATCTGCAATGGCGTTTTCAATTCCAAAGAGCATTTCTCTAATTAAAATAAGGTAGTATTTCTCTCAGCCTGTAGCTCCCTGTTGTAAACTTGCAGGCTTTGCTTTCCAAGGAACAGGGCAAATCATATTATCTTGCCTAAATTAAGTTTCAGACTAATCTTCTGCACAGAGTTAACTGAACTGAAAATGGAGGTTTGCTCACTGACCAAACCAAGTACAGTACTGTATGATTTTCTCCCCATGATCCTGTCTCGTGGTATCAGGGAAACGCCCTGGACCTTACAGCTTCCTTCCCACCTACTCAGGCAGCAAAGCAAAGTAATCTACTGGTTACCTCCTGCGCGTGCTCTTTTCGTCCACCACGCACAGAGTTCCCAACTCTAAGCAAACACAGGCTTGGCACAGCCTTTGCCAGCACATCCACTCCACCCTGTTCAAATAGGAGTGGGTCCTCAAAGACAGACTATAAGGCGATCTTCCCTACCCACATTTTACCTGGTCCCTTGAGGTAGGCAGGGCAGGTCCCACAAATGATGGGTGGGGACAGGATTGTAGCTGAGTGGACTCCGCTCAATTCTGGGCTTATCACAGGAACATCGAATCAGCCTCACTCTGAGTCAGACCACTGCTCCGTCTTGTTCAGTACTGTGTGTGCCAAGGGTGACCGACCGACTTGAGGTCCTACACATGTTGTTAGACATGAGTTGCCGCCAGCCTTCGCATCTGGAGGGGCTGGCAGGGGCCTAGGAGAGTACTGCAAAATTTGGAGGACCATGAGTTGCCCACCCCAACCTGCACAGCCTATCAGAAGCTTCTCCGGCCCTACCCATAGATGTCATGGATCAAACTGGGGTCCTTTGGGTTTTGCAGAGTGTTGCACAACTGGCCAATGATCCTTCTCCTGAAAGGTAGTGTAGAGATTCATTTAAAGATGCCGGACACTCTTAAATTGTGCAGCTGCTCACTACCTGAGATCCATACCCTCTCTAGGTCCCAGACTGGCCTTGGTCTTAAGTAACAGGATTTGAAACAGCCATCTTCCTGATACTTTGGAGGACACAACAGTGGGTGCTATGTGTGGGCCTCAGGATCTTGTTGGGCTTCATCTCCCAGCTTTTGGGGGGGGAGGCACTTGTTGCTTAGCCTTGCCTGAGAGACATTTTTTAAGCTGCGGCAGTGGTCATGAGGAGCCAGATCTGTATACCTATTGAAATAGAACCATTGTCACCAAACTGTAGGAGTCATGGTGAGATCAAGAATGGGCTAATGGCGGCCCTATATTTCTTTTTCCTTGAACCAGGTCAGTCCAGACTCAGCAGAGAATTTCACCCAAGTGAAGAAACCTGGGCAAATTAACTTTGGGGGGGGGGAAGGAGAAAGCTCTTAGCCCTTGATGGGATGTGCCAACTGATAGGGAGCAGAGACACACACACACAAAGAACCTAGTGTTTCTTGTAGGTATCACCAGTTGGCAGGACACACCAGGGCGGGCGGGTGGGGGGGGAGAGTTGAACAAACAGCAGGGAAGGACTTTCACTTGGCACTTCCAGGGACCCTCAGCCTTCCTCTCAACACTCACTGAGGAGAACCAGCACCCCAACAACAGGCTGCCACCACTCCCAACCTGTCTCCCAGCCCCTCTGTCCGCTGCCTCCTCGCACAAAGTTGTTCAGTGACCATTTTAAAGCCCGTCCTGCCATCCCCAGAACTGGGCGCACTGCCAGGCAACCAGCCCTCCCATTAGGCTGAGGTATCCCACGGCTGCCAGCTGTTTGGGGGCCTCAGGAAAAGGACAGTTAAGTCGTTAATTATCTAGATTTATTACTCCCGCATGTTGACTGCTCAGAAGCTCTGTGTGTGTGTGTGTGTGTGTGTGTGTGTTGCTTGTGGGATGTTCCACCTCAGGTGCCAACCTAAGTTGAGGTATACTAGGCATCTGGTGGTTGTTCCGCCCGGCCAGCTGTGGCCTTGTGCTTTTTTGGGGGTGTAGGTGGGGAGGAGGAGGGTGCCGAGGTAGGGAAACCCGGAAATCCTCGATCCCCTCGTCAGATTTGCTTAGAAACCTTGCTTTTGTCCCCAAAGCAGAGGAGGCGGCGGCGGGGGTGGTGGGGTCTCATAGGAAGTTCCCTCTCTCGTCGCCACCTGCCTGAGTGGCGAGTGACTCTGCATTGCAGATACCTGGAGAGGCAGGACCTCGGAAAGAAGCGAGACCGAAGGAGAAGGAGCGGAACGAGCGGGAAGAAGGGAAAGGAGGACCGAGAGAAAGAAAGGACGGGAGGGATCGGAGCGGCGCGCTCTCGCCTCCCACCGCCACGAGGGCTACAGGTCCGCTCGGGCTGCCTGCCGCTCTCACCTCCTCCTTACCTGCTGCTGCTGCTGCTGCTCCTGCCGCCGCCGCCGCCGCCTTCCAGAGCCATGCCAGCGGATCGCCTAAGCGCGCAGCCAGACTCGGGGCCGCCGCAGCCCCGGC